CCACAATCACAGAGCTTGGTAGGGCCACTGTGGGAAAACATTATTTCAAAACTCAGTTGTCCATGGACTTGAAAGTTGAGGGCTGCTGTTTGCAGAGAACCCTACTGCCTTAATAATTAGAATAGGGTTTGGGGGTTCCTCAGTATGTCTATAGGATAATATGCCCCAAACCCTATTCTAATTATTAAGGGCCCCTGTACTATTAGCAACAAGACAGATCGGTTAACGCATCTTCGTGAATGAGTTCTTGTTGCAGGACGAGGGTGTAAGTGGAGGATCATGGAGTGTGCCGATGGACCAAGGGATGTCCTACATTCGGGCGCGCTCATATCGCATCTGTCGCAGTTTTAAATGGGTAGTTTTCAATATTAGGGTCCCTGTTTAGGTCCCCAATATAGTACGGCGCCGTTATAAAATGGACCCTGAGAAGGGACCCTAATTTAGAGAACTACCCATATAGCATTTTGGCACGCTCACCTGTGCCCAACTCGGTGGGCGGACGTGTCTGCACGACCTTAGAGCCGCCAACACCCGCCGCCGAGGCCGAGCAGGAGTGTTCAACACCCCATGTTCAGTGCTTCTCGACTGTGGCGACTGGAGATATTGGGGCGCCTCCGAAACGGTGCTTAAGTGGCTCCTTCAGACTTGGTATGCAAGTTTATAAGATGTCCTAAGTACCTGCACCCTAAACCCTAAACCCTAAACCCTAAACCCTAAACCCTAAACCCTAAACCCTAAACCCTTTTAGCCTGTTTTTGCAATCCTAGTTACTACGTCCGTGGCCCTTGGACTCCCGTTCTCCTCAAAGGGACAGGCAAAGTCCTCGTCATTGGGTTTAGGGTTTAGGGTTTAGGGTTTAGGGTTTAGGGTTTAGGGTTTAGGGTTTAGGAGCCTACGACCAGAAAGGGCTCAACGCAAGCAACAAAAGGAGCCATGCCAGCTCCCTAGCGTTCCTGTAGAAGTTTGGTAGCCTTTCCTGCCATCATTATCGTCCCTGTCGTCCGACGGACTCCAACATCCTAGGGCTTTTGGGAAATTTTGGAGGTTTATGATTGAAATAGGGTTTTGGGTGTAATGGGGAACCCCTAAGCCCTGAAGCCTAAGCCTAATTAAGGGGTTACAAGTCGGATCGGACTTTTAATTGGAATAGAGCTTTCAGGGTTTAGGGTTTAGGGTTTAGGGTTTAGGGTTTAGGGCCTACGACCAGAAAGGGCTCAACGCAAGCAACAAAAGGAGCCATGCCAGCTCCCTAGCGTTCCTGTAGAAGTTTGGTAGCCTTTCCTGCCATCATTATCGTCCCTGTCGTCCGACGGACTCCAACATCCTAGGGCTTTTGGGAAATTTTGGAGGTTTATGATTGAAATAGGGTTTTGGGTGTAATGGGGAACCCCTAAGCCCTGAAGCCTAAGCCTAATTAAGGGGTTACAAGTCGGGTCGGACTTTTAATTGGAATAGAGCTTTCAGGGTTTAGGGTTTAGGGTTCAGGGTTTAGGGTTTAGGTTGGAACCCTAATCCTCAACACAAGCTTCAGGAGTGGGTGCCGACCTACATGCAGGACCTGCTCGAGAAGCAGCTCCACCACAAGGCCAGATTTGAGGGATGCTAACACATGGGCTTCGCAGGTTTTTAGTCGAGTTTGTATGATTTGCAGTTTTTCTGTGAGTTTCAGAACATGGGCACTTGGGACCTGAAGTAGAGGACCCTTAACGAGCGGACGCCACGAAATAAGCTGTCTACTCAATATCAAGAAGCCTAAACCTTACACCGTAAACCGTAAACTGAGACACTAAGCCCTCCATAAATCCGAAACCCCGGGCTTTCTAGACCTTGTCTTCAACACTGCATAAGGTGATCGAAAAACTGCGAAAACAGCCCTACCCACATTGCAAGCTGAACTCCAAACACCTGAATTGTTGCAAGCCTGAGTAATTCATAGTGCTCGTCCTTAGGTTCCGTACAGTAGGTATCGTACACCATAACCCTATTCTTAACCCTATTCTTATTATTAATAACGCCCTACTGTCCTACTATACTATGTCAAGAATCTCCTTGTCCTTCTTGTTTCAGGGTCTCCTTGCGTGGAGGAGGTTCAGCGGATTCAGCAAATAGGCTCAGGAGTAAAGAAGCTACACGTATACTTGCTTACCATGTAGCCGTAAATCCTGCAAAACCCTGCAATAGTTAGTGAAACCCCTCTACCCCGGTTCATACCACCCATCAGCCTCCATTAGCCCCCACAAAGACACATCAAGCCTGTTAAAGCCCTCATGGCCAGCCGAAGCCTTATCGAAACCATACACCCCAATTCCGATGTAATCCTCAAAGTAACCCCTTACTTAAGGAACCCTTTTTTAAGTTTAAGGAACCCTAAAGAAGCTCTTCAAGGAAGCCTTTAAGAAACCCGTGTAAGGAACCCATGCCGGAACTCTTCAAGAAACCCACGCCGGAACCCTTCAAGAAACCCTTTAAGGGAACCCTTTTAAAGGAACCCTTTAAGGGAGCCCTTCCCTAAACCCTAAACCCTTTAAGGGGGACCCTTTTCAAGGAACCCTAAACCCCACCTAGGGTCTCGATCTCGATGGCCTCGTCCAACTCGCCATGGCGCTGGAGGCTCCAGGGACGTTGTTTGTGGTTTTAATGGGGTCTAGGTTCCTTTCCAGGTTTAGGGTTTAGGGTTTAGGTTCTAGGTTCCTTTAAGGGTTCCCTTTAGGGTTGCAGTAAAGATCATGAAGGTTACAGGGAGTTTTGGAGTTTAGGCTTTATGGGTCAGGGTTTAGAGTCAGGGGAGTTATTGGTCAGTTATTGGGGTCTAGTATTGCAACATAGTAGGGGTTCCCTTGAGGCTTTGTTGTTGGGGTTAGGTTAGGGGTTTAGGGTTGAGGTCTAGGTGGCCCTTCGGAAGGTTATGAGTTCGGTCACGTAGGGGTCTGAATACTTCGCAATACCATTCCTTAGCGGTTCCTGCTCATACGCATCTTATAGTATGCACCAACACCCAATTTTGAATATTCATGCCCTTATAGGATAAGTGTTGCGAAGTCTAACGGGGTTTGCAGGTGGTTGTAGGAGGGCTTTTTGTATGGTCTTGACAGTCTGGGATTTTGGGTCTTGAGAGTCTGCGGGCCGCAATCCGAGAAAGCCCTGAAACCCTGAACTGCCCACAAAGCCCGAGCCCCGCAAAAAACGCAACCAGTACACACCGAAGACCTTAAACGCTTGGACTGAGGTCAAGCATACCTTAAACTACCAAACCCTAATTTCTTGTAGGTTCTTATTATAAGCCCTAATATGGAGTTTATAGGGACCCTGTAAAAAAGTAGGTTTTGGCAGGTTAAGCGTAGATCCCAGTGACAAACCTGCTGGCCCAGGAATTGGTGAGCCATGAGGCGGCGAACAGGCTGAAGACGCTTGGCGAGCAGGCTGTCTAAGGCTTCTAGGCCCGGCTAAATCTTACAAGACAGTGGCGCGAATGATTTCCCAATACTAGTCCTTGCACTCCGGCCCCTCGTAGGATTCTACCGCAGTATACCCAAGACCCCCTTGTGATTCTTCAGGGTCCTTTATTATCTCCCTTTCCGACCACATGAGCAGGCGCATCAGTGTTCGTTTCCCTACACTGCTTGGAGGTTCATGGGTAGTTATAAGTGGGGTTATAAGTAGGGTAACTATAATTATAATCCTAATTAGGGGACTTATAACCCGACTTATAACTACCCATGAACCTCCAAGTGGTGGCATGCGTTGTATTGTGTTTCTCTTCAGTTTGCTCCAGGCCAGATGAGGTGTAGCAGATTCTTCTTATCATGACCGCTTACTTGGAGGTTCATGGGTAGTTACAAGTGGGGTTATAAGTCCCCCTAATTAGGGTTATACTTATAGTTACCCTACTTAAAACCCCACTTATAACTACCCATGAACCTCCAAGTATGGTTTCTGTGACTACTAGCATGGTGGTGGTAGTGGCAGCGGCGCGACGGAAGTAGCAAGCTAGGTCGTTCGTCAGCTAGTTAGCTCGTTGGTTGGTCAGTTAGCAAGCTGGCTAGTTCGGTAGATAGTGGTCATGTAGTCGTCGTAGCGGTCGTCGTCGTAATGAAGGGCTGACTTCTTATATTATGGACTTTGCGAAGCACCATGCAGCTGGGCACAAGAATAGCTCCAACGCCTGTCTTGTCAGCGCTACAGCACTACGGCCGTTCCTGCCGTCGCTCCATGTGGGCAGGCAGATGACAAGTTGTGCTCTAGCTTGCTGCTCTCCGCTGTGGACGCTGTCTTCCGGGCTCTGGCCCAGAACAAAGACTTTCGACACCAAGAGGGAGGCTTCGTCGTCGAGCATGCTATCACAGCGTTGCAGGATGAGCATACTCGCGTGCAGCCATGGACGTGGTAAACGAAGCGCTCAATTCATGGCTGTGGCGGTGCTAGCAACACTCCGCTTGACGAGTTCATGCCTGGTGTGTGTTTGGAGCAAGCCGTGCAGCAGACGGCCCAGACCGTGAAAGCATTGACGGATGTCGGGTGCAGAGTTTCAGAGTTTCAAGCGCCTTTGCAAGATGTGAGGGATTAGGCTGTAGGACCTTAGATTATAATTGTAATAGGGTGTTGGGGCATATCACAGAGGCGTATTACAGTAATTACCATACGGGTTCACGATTAAAAGTACGTCGAATGTTATGACGTTTCGAGGCTCCTCCTACGAATTCTGCAGCAAGGCCGCAGCTTGGAGTTCTCCGTCGGGGCTTTCAGACGCTCCAAACCCTAGGCCCTAGACCCTAAACCTTCAACCTAAAACCCAAGCAAGACTTAGTAATCCTGGGTCTTTGTTGGCCACAATTTTACATTTTCGTTATAATAAAGCCCAATAAAGATTAAACATGGTCATGTTTAATATAGCCCCGACAGGAAGCCAGAATCGGCCCTGAGGTTAGTGAGCATGAACATGCCTTCAGCCCACTTTAGGGTTTAGGGTTTAGGGTTTAGGGTGCCCTCAATCCGTCGCCTAGGACCGCATACCAGATCCACAACCTTCCGATGCCACGACGCTGCATTTGTGAGACGACCATGTCTAGGATCTTATCACTAGCAGCCTGCCATTTAGGAAACTGAGGTTGTTCATGGGGGCTTCTGGATTTTTTGAAGCTCCGATGTCAACCGGCGTTGGTTGGAGAAGGTCTTGGAGATCGGCAGTCTTTAAAGCGCTGAGGTGAAGCCTAAGCACTGAATCCTACCTGGACCCTAAAGAAGCTGCCTCTTGAGGGTTCCTTATTATGACTTCCTAAAAAAGTAGGTTCTTTGGGGTCAAGGTAAGCCCTTGACCCTAAACCCTTATCCCCTCACCCGTCATATAGGAGCCTGAATAACCTACATTAACCCTTAGCCCCGAGCTGCTTCATACATCAAGAAGGGCGGCATCGGAATGGACACGCTGAATCCCCAAATTTCTAAGCCGGCTCTGGCTGTGGCGTTGAGACCCACAGGATTAAGGTGTAGGGTTTAGAGTCTACAGTCTAGAGCTGTAGATCAGTTGAGGGTTCGAGGGTTTCAGGGTTTGAGGTTTGAGGGCCATACTACTGTACGTATACTCTACATCTACTATATTAAATTATACTATAGTATACTATACTGTACTGTCCTGTACTTTTCTGTACTCTGCTATACTATACTATACTTTACTATACTATACTGTAGTATACCATACTATACGATATGCTACTTTACCATAATATACTATGCTATACACTACATTATACTATGCTCTACTCTACTATACTAGACCACCCTATACTAGACTACGTAGACGAGACTATACTATACCTCACTAGTACTAACTCCACTAGTAAGACATATTTTATGCCAGTGCTAATTCCAATACTAGTACTACTGCCACTACTAGTATTCATACTAGCACTAATGCTAATGCTAATGTGCCGATCTATTTTGAGAACATGCACCAGAGGAAGCAATTTCTCAAAGCCTCGGGGAACAGCAGAGGCCGACGGTCGAATAATATAGGGGCCTTAATAAACTATAACTATAAGAAGGAACTCCTAAAACCCTATTCTAATTATTAAGGCCCCTACATTATTCCGGAATACTCGAAGATTCCATGAACCATGGTATGCCGTAGACTGCTACAACACACTGTAAACTGCTGATACAGTATGCCACGAACTGCTAACAGAATCATACTATAAATTAACATAACGCACTTTGAACTTCCATTATGTGCTGTAAAATAGACGTAGTATAGCTTGCTATGATTTATCTGCAACCTTGGCATCTATGATCAACGAGTACTCAATTTGGAGGGCTTGGGCTATAGAATCGTGTAGAACCCGTATGACGTTCGCTGCACTCACTTTTCAGGAACCAGAATCTCTCTCGCGAAGATGCTGCGGACCTCGTGCGTACCTGGTACGTGTCTTGACCGGCATTGAACCCTTTGATTTAGGTTTCCAGAGGTTCCGCTTAGGGTATGAATCATGTTGATGAGAGTTTTCAAGGACGCACTTCAGGTGCCGTTCGTGCAGATGCCCTAAACCCTAAACCGTAAACCCTAAACCCTAAACCCTAAACCCCAAAACCTTTCTGCTGACAGCCTTGGGATTTGGGCTGTGCTGAGTCACTTTGTTCTCCCCGTAAGTGCTGAGCCTCAAACATGAGCTCGAAGACCGAGCTTCATAAGAGTGTCAGTAGGGCTAAACCCTAAACCCTGTCTGTTTGGGGGTAGGTGTTCAGCTTTTTCGGAGGGCGCACAGAGCAGGCCCGCCTATAGCCTGAAGTGGCAGTGAAGACAAAGGTCTGCGAGACAAGTCAGAAACACCGTAAGGGCTCGAAGTAATAATGATGAAGGTTTGGGTTCGGGTTTAAGGTTTAGGGTTCAGGGTTTAGGGTTTAGGGTTTAGGGTTTAGGGTGTGCTTCCTTCGAGCTCCCTGTTATAATGCCCAAAGCCCTATTCTAACTACTGCCCCTATATTCCCCTAGACCGGGTAGAGGGTTGGCGGAAGGGTTTCGACCCTTGAAACTAACCAGTGCCAGATGGGTAATTCTCTACATTAAGTCCCTTCGTAGGTGCCAACACTGTATGGCGCCCTTATACAAAAAGCTCCGAAAAGGGGGACCCTAATTCAAAGATACTCACCAGACGAGCTGGCCAGGTGGGTTTCCTGCTTGCAGGCAACTTCTCTGCGGACTCCCCCGAGGAGGCCGGGATAATGTAGGGTTTCGGATACTCCCAGAGAGCCCAATACCCTTCAAACAAGGAATATACCTTAAATTATGGGGGCCTTAAGATTATGATTTAAGGTATATTCCTGAATGAAGGGGTATTTGGGCACTCTAGGTTTAGGCTTGAGAGTTTAGGGGTTTAGGGCTCCTTGGGAATAGCGGGCATTGATAATTCATGGTACTATTTCTCAGGAATACAGGGACATGGGTTTGGATAGTTAGTGATACTATCCCTTAAGGGTGACTCAGTATATAAGCATAGTACAGATGCTCTCGAAACCTTACTCTCATTATTCAGGCTTCTAGACTGCCGATAAGAAGCTGGACGCTTGAAGCTGTCTTGGTATTGTATTATTTAGGGTAAGTATTAGAATACACCAACATCATGTAACAAAAACTAACATGTAGGGTTTCAAGGTATCAGGCTTGGGGCTCGGGGGGTTATGAGTCTCATACTGCTATGCTGCTAGCAACCTGTGCGCACCCATGAGAGTGCAGGTATGGTCACATCAGACTGTGTGTTTAGGGTTTAGGGTTTAGGGTTATGTATTGTAGTGCAACGACAATGGTCATCAGACGGCAAAGAAATCTTTCAATGCAGGAAATGCACCTCAACGAGTGTTTGCAATTGCCATTACTTCCACAACTTTACGAAATACACCATTCTGCCGGCTTTTCGGCTCGTGGCTGTCTCCGGTTCAGCAAGCCGCAAGTATTTTAACCATGAGCCCTACACTCCAAAGTCCAACTCCCGAAACTGCTTTAAGGGTATCCCCTTCTAGCATTCCCCCAACTTGAGCCCTACCATTTCGAAGGTCCATGCCAAGAAGGCCATTTTTGCAAGGACGGCGCCGACTTTCTGAGGTTTAGGGTTTACGATTTGGGGTTCAGGGTTTGGTTTCAGCGTTCCAGTGCTTAGGGTTTCGTTTTTCGGATCTCAGGATTCCGTGTTTTACTCGGGTCCTGGCCATTTTCCCACAGAGAAGACGACTTGTGGCTGCGGGGCTGCGAAGCGCAGGATCTGCGAAGCAAGGATCTCACAGGTTCCCGAGCCCTAAAATCTAAACTCCACAAGCTTGTGAAAGGCCAGCTGGGTTTGGGGTTTAGGGTTTAGGCTTTTAGGGTTTAGCTGCTCCAGCAGATGGTAGCGATGTCGGATACCGCCCAAGCTCAACTGGGATTGTTGACTACGCAGGCCGACGATGTGCCTGTGCAGTTCCGCATGGCCATGCAGCAGATGAAGCTGCAGCACACAGAGGCGCCGCGCGTCCAGGCACAGGCGCACCCTCGCCAAATGGCACAAGCACAAGGAGCCCAATACCCCTTAAATAAGGAAGAAACCTTAAATCGTAACACTAAGGCCCCTAAAATTTAAGGTATATTCCGTAATTAAGGGGTATTGGGCTCTCTGGGCAAGTGTTGAAACTTGTGAGACAACAGATGGCTTCGGGAATGCAAGCACCGCGAACCCTGGGGCACTCCTCGCTTACGCCTGGCATGGGCGGCTCCAGATCCTCTAGGCCTCCCTTAAGAATTAGAATAGGGTTTTGGTGTATATTCTACTATAGTTATGATAAGGACCCACCTTGATTAATAATTTGAATAGGGTTTTGGGGTATATATTATTATAGTTATTAAAAGGACCCGCAAAATAGCATTAGGCAGCCCAGCGGTGAACCTCACACCCACACATGACGAATGTCGAAGAGTCTAACACCAACCTCGAGAGTCCCATGTCCTCCTACCGCAAAATGCCGTGCTGAAGCTTTAACCCAGAGAGCCTGCTATGAGGTGTTAATATTCCTTAAGTGGCATATTCCCCCTAAGCCCTAAACCGTAGTGGCATATTCTTCAGTAAACCCTAAACCCTTCTTGGGCTCTCTTGGCACTTCCCAACAATCTGAGCCTCAAGTACGTGAAAGTCCCGGAGTTTCCGACCCTCTGGGGTTTAGGGTTTAGGATATTAAATTACATTACACTACGTTAGATTGCATTATATTATGCACTAGCTGCTGTTTATTTCTTTTTTAAAATTTTGTCTTCTATGATATTATTCGATATCATATAATGATTATAGGGTGTTCTATGACATTCTACTGCACGATGTCATACTATAGTATGGTATATCGTAGTATATTATAGCATATTGGGGTATATTAGGTGCTAGGACAAATCCTAAACCCCTAAACCCCTAAACCCTAAACCCTAAACCCCGAAACCCTAAACCCCTCAGCCCTAAACCCTATAGTATGTTCTAGTATACTATGGTTTAGTAGAGCATCCCGACCCGGGCCGGAACCCCAAACCCCAAAGCCCAAGTCCAAATATTCTAGGGTTTGGGGTTTGGGGTTTAGGGCTTTGTTTTAGGGTTTAAGGTTTAGAGTTTAGAGTTTAGGGTTTAGGGTTGTGGTTTAGGGTGTAGGGTTTAGGGTTAAGGGTTTTGGTTTAGGGTTTTGGGGGTTGAGGGTTTAGGGTCTTGGGTTTAGGGTTTAGGGTTTAGCCCGAAAGCTTAAGCCCTTGAGTCCTGAACCGAAACCTTCAAAATGTGGACCCAAAATTGCGGTTCAGGGTTTAGGGTTTAGGGGCTTGGGGTTTAAGTCTTTAGGTAAGTTCCCAAATTGCTTTACATAAGTTCTGTATAGACAACCTTCAGAGTTATAAGTGTAGCTCCCCTCGTGCGAGGAAGTACTCAGCCGAGCCCTCAGCATCTGTGCAACGCAAGCGTGCGTGAGCAGATATTATAGGGGCCTTAATAATTACCTATACTCTTTAGGGGGTTCCTTATTATGATTATGCTAATGATTACCTATACTCTTTTGGGGTTCCTTACTATGATTATGCTATAGTATACCCCAAAACCCTATTCTAATTATTACGGCCACTTAGGGTTTTTAGGGTCCTGCGGTTCCTTTGAGGGCACCTTTGAAGGACACCATACGGGCTTCTGCAAGAGAGTCGCGTGTTAAACGGTTATGTGGGCTCCTTTGAGGGTTCCTGCTTGCAAGGTACTGCATAAACCCTAAACCCCTAAACCCTAAACCCCATGTTTCGGTTTCTACTACTTGGAGGTTCATGGGTAGTTATAAGTAGGGTTATAAGTCCCCCAATATGGGTTATCACTATAGTCACTATAGTTACCCTACTTATAGCCCCACTTATAACTACCCATGAACCTCCAAGTAGGGGAACTATAGGGTTTAGGGGTTTGGGTTTCAGGGTTTAGGTTCAGGGCTTTGCGTTTGGGGCGTTTACTTCCCGAACAACGTAGCAAAGCCTGAAGCCCTGAAGCTCCAAACCCAGAACTAACCATTCTGGCTTTAGGTTTGAGAATTTAAGGTTTAGGGTAAAATTCTGTAAACCCAGAACTAACGCTTTCTGGCTTTAGGGTTGAGAATGTAAGGTTTAGGGTAAAACTAACCCTTTATCCTGAAGCAGAAAAGCACCAGACTTCTGAAAACCACTGGAACTAACCCATGGGTTTAGGGTTTTGGGGTTTAGGGTTTAGGGTTTGGGTTTGGGTTTAGGGTTCAGGGAATTTAAGGTTTAGGGTAAAATTCTGAAAACTGCTGGAACCTGGAAGCGACCAAGGATTGGTCTGATGCTGATAACTGGCTTATGAAGCTGGAGGAGCAGCACTACAAAGGCCTCCGCGCAACCCTAAACCCTAAACCCCAAACCCTAAACCCTAAACCCTTAACCCCTAAACCCTAAACCCCAAACCCCCTAAACCCTAAAGCCTTTGGAATACCCTAAACCCTAAACCCCAAACCCTAAACCCTAAACGGGCGGGATCTAGGGTTTAAGGGCCAATTTAGGGTTTGACATGTCGCAAGTCTTGGGCTGCGGAGTCTTGGGACTCGGCCTCAGGACCTGAACCCTAAGTAATTTCTATGAGCCCTAACACACTAAACCCTAAACCCTAAA